TGATACAATTGCCGAAACTCATAACGAAAAAATAAATTGAAAATGAAGAATAAAGTCTTTTTGTATAAGGATTTGTTTTTTGAGAAAAGTAACTGAAAATTTTCCTGGTACACAGTAAGTATACTCTTATTTCCCTTTTGCAGGTATATACACACGTGGTCGTTTTTGGTACGGTAACCGTCAATGGCATAGAGGAGATACGTACATTTCCGATCGTCTAAATTACTACGGCGATACTGCTACAATATAGGATGTATGTATATAATCGATGATATTTCTCTTGAGTCAACTAACGGGAGAATCATCCTTTATGATACTTATTGTCGACTTGTATATATGTATTTGTTTCATCCCGGAACGGAACAAGCAAAAGAATGTGTCAAGTCCCCTTGATAAAGCTTATAACACAATCACAAAGGAAGACTACTTTTAAATAGAGATCTCATGTTGTATTCAGGCTCCTTAAGAACAATTATAAGCCATTATTCGCGAGTGAGCACTCTCCTGAGCAAATAGGATTCGTTTTTCGCTAGAGCGACCAGACTATCGGCGAAAAATATGCAGCTGTTCGTGAACAGTCTGTCAGTCTGGATGCAGTATTAAAGCATATTAGGAGTAACAAGTATTAATTTTTTCAAAATTTTTATTTTTTTTCACGCTTAATAGCCGAAGACGTGTTATCTCGGTATTTAAATTCCGAAGAATAATTTAGAAACAATGAGCACTTCACATCAATTCTAGTATAGTCCCACCTTTATTAGGATAAAACGCGCCAAAGCCAAATGGGAAGGTTGCCGTGAACATTTTGTACAACAATGAATCAACATACATCCTAAATTAAGCTCAAACATTCCAAGTACGTCGCGCGTTTTTTGAATTTTTTTAATCATATATATTCTTTTATCAATACGAGGAAAATCGAATAATAAATTAGTCGGTTAGTAGGTGCTTACCTCGGTAAATACATAATTTGAATGGCGAAGATCATAGCATAAATAATAGTTGAAGCGAGGAGATACCACGGATATTGTTCATCAATCTGTTGGCGGTATTGAAGTTCTTGGTTTTGATCATAAAATCGATAAGTGAAGGATGACATGCCTTCGTTGCTCTGACACCATTTTCTATTGTGATGAACACGCATATGAACATTGAATATTGGATATGTATATATGTAGTGATGGTTAATTTATGCCATATATGTATGTATGTATGAGTATAGTGCATGATATTTATAAAAACGAAAAAAAAGAAAAAGATAAACTCACCTTATATCGAGAAAACAATTAGAATTACTATTTACGAAAAGATTCGATTCAATCATAGCGATGCTCTATAAGAGACAAAGAGACACATAATGCGTTAATTCCTATAGTTCAAATTCTTGATTTAATCATATCTCATTGCATTAATACAAGAAAGGACTAATTTTCCTTCTTTAGATTACCAACTAATTACTAACTAATTAAAAACAATAAATTGAACGACAATCAGTTATTTGCTTACCGTTAGGCCAATATTCTTAGCAAGCGTAGCTTCTACAACGTTGGCGAAAGGTTTATCAGCACCCCAACTTTCAACATATTTTGTCATTTTACTGCTTGGTCTTGATCTGCTCAAATATAGAGATGAAAATTATTTTAAATGTGTATTTATAGCTTGTTTTCTTCTTTTCTTCCGTTTTCCTTTCTCTGTTTCTTTTTTTTCTTTTTTTTTTGAGTGACAATTATCGAAATATCAAAAGAAGACGTATACAAATGATACTTTCTTAACCTTTTGAACTTAGTTAAACATTACTCATTAGTGGTTAATACAGAAGGTATGAAGAAGAAGAATGTGATCATCATTTTAAAAGCTAAAAATGAACGATCCTGTTACGACATTAGCTATCTATTGACAGTGCACTAATTTCATTCGGGTTAGAGAATTATAATTACATTTAAAGCCAAATTTAAATGCGGGAAGGTGGCATTGTTACAGCATTGACACAGTTTCCATACGTGAATAGACCGAAATATCGAAACTGAACGATGTGCCGTGTTCACCTGGACGGTATGGAGACAGCACTGCGTTCGCGCTCATCATCCGTGTGATTTTCTTGGTTGGCTTTCTACCATAACACAAAATAAATCATTATGCATCAGATTTGGTTAACAAATTCAATAACTCGAACCAATGTTCGAAGTATCATTATTAAAATAAAATCAATCAATCAGATTGTAATTGAATATTCTACTGCAGTAATCGATGGTAATTGAATAATTATTTTTTCTCAATACTCGATTGTTTTACCGATTTTGATACATACACGACATTTTTACCTTAATTTTTAGTTTAATTTAATCTATTGAAATTAATTTAAATCTTATGCACAGAGCATTAATTTTTGTATCACGAATATCAATGGAAAATTCTAATTTGTGATTAAAATGTCTATTATTAATGATACTGATGGAAAAAGAGGATTTAATCTCACCTTTGGTGGCACTATCAAAAAAGTTTCAATATTGTGCTGGGCAAGATAGCTCTCTCGCGACCCTCCATTGCCAGGTTCCACTTCGAAGTGATTTCCAAGATGAAGCAGGGTAGCTTTAGTTATATGCACTCTCCTTGAAAAAAGGAAAGCTATTCGAAAGTAAAGACATTTTCCTCGTTCCAATAAGCGAAGTATATGATAACTAGAATAAATTACCCCGGTAAACCACCGCTCTCCATATGGTTTGCCAGTGTAACATCATCACTCCAAACGTCAAATTGCCATTTTCGTAAACCAAGTACACCACATAGCACGTTTCCGGTGTGTATTCCTATTCGCATATCCACGTTGAATCCCGTTGCTTCGCGAACGAATCTAAAAAGAGGAACGATCGGTTATATTTGTATCATTGTAGCATTGCGGAGAAAGACCAGCTTATCCTTTCTTCTACCTGATAGCATCTATCATTTGTAATCCCATAGTCACGCAATTGTACGCATGATTCGGTCGAGAAATGGGTAATCCTGAAACGCAGTAGTAACAGTCACCCAGGATTTTGATTCTCATGCATTGATTTTCCTAAAAATGGGAGTTTGTGTTTTTTACTCAAACATTATCAGATTACGAATTTAAGTTACGATATTTCAGTAAGATAGCAGACTCATTTTGTGCGATAATAGGTGCGAATAATAGGAGACGATCCAATAAAAAATGATCGCGACTTTACCTGAGCGATTTGGTCGAATCTTCCGAATAGTTCGTTCAATATCTTTACCAAATTCGAGGCTGACAATTGTTCTGAGAGCGGTGTAAAATTAACAATGTCCGCATATAAAATACTGAAAGAGATATCATTATTCTTTCTACCTATTTTACGTTTGACTAATACTAATACTAGTACTAATGAAAATAGTATTTGGTTCCATCCTTTAACTTACCTAACATTGTTATATCGTTGCACGTACATTTCATGGAATCTAGTTTGCGTATGTTTACGAGCCTCTTGACACGCATCCGCCATTTTCAACATAATGCTTCTTTTCACCTGTCTCAATTTTATTTAACAATGTCCAATATACTTGAACGGACAATCAACAATGGTAATGTTTTATCAGAGGAAAATACAAAGCTTACCTCAGCTGCAATATAAGCCGGAATAACACTCAACAATAACTGTTCTTGTTGTTCTCTTTCACATTCTAACTTTATTCTGGATTCGATGACTGTTTTTGTTCTAGAAAACGTTCTATTGTGCGCTTTTGTAGTTAGGATGCTATAATACGAACCCGACAAAACAGCAGCAAACAGAAAGACGATCTCGCTGCATGTCTAAATTAAATGACAATGAGAATGATCAAATAAGTAGGCCCGAATATGGACACAAAGTAAATGAAGATACAAAAAATAAAGTAGTATAATAGTAGTAGAGGATATGCTAATTTAAACAGGCAAACAGGTATACCGCCATACCTCGACTATTTGATAGTAGCTCGAGTGATCGAAAAGCACGAATCGCATGCCTAAATGAATAACAATTAGCGTAATTGCAAGAATCGTTGGTGTTTGTCGACTACCTCTCGGTAGTACAGCGATCATTGCGTGAACTGCTATAAACAAGGGTACCGAAGCACGCACGATTATAATTCCAACACCTAAAGTAGCAGACGCAATAAAGCCAATGAGAAGTCTAGCTTTAGCGGATGCTAACGCGGACGGTAGTTGCGTTATTAGTAGTAAACTTAATGAAGAGAATAATAATATCGTCAAAGTCGATATAGGGACAGTCGCTTCAGTTAAATCCTGTAACAAAACGAAACGAGTGGGCTAAGAATAATTTGAAGTTTTTTCTTTCTATTTTAGACTTTGGATACATAATATGTATACATACGATTACTTGTGGGTATATAGTAACAAAACCAAGTATTGTAAGCTAAATATACAATAACTATGTATTTTACGTACATACTCGTGTATACATATTTATTTCCCCTTGTTACGCTAAATGGTTTATGAGCGATAAAAAGAATACTCAGTTGAGTTACGAAATTAACGGTTTAGCGCTATTTTAATGTTTCGTAGGGACGCATTAAATTTACCTGATAGTTAGGAACGCAGAGAATTCCTAGAGCGGGAATCAAGGCAGCGACAGCAACGAGGAGAGTGCCAGCATAGAGGGAGGCTGTTAATTTCCCCTCGTATTTGCTTCGCAGTTGTTTTAAATCCTCAATGTCGGCTTCTTTTGCCACATGTTTCTCTGATTTTTCTACAATATGTCCATATATTGCATATATTAATTACTATTACTATTAAGGTTGAGAAATAGTAATATCCAAGAAAGTTAGACAATTGAAAAATCTCTAACTCGCATTAAAAGCATCTCTATAAGCATCGAGAATCGAGAGCAATAGTATCGCATGTGTGTATATAGTATTGCATGCACGTACGAACATATACGATGTATACATAGGTATATACATAGGTATAATATGTATAGGTACAATACATGCATAATGCAAGCAAGTGGTATGTATGTATGCAAGTACACACTGCTAAGCGATGTAAGAGGTGTAAGATATCTAATCCCTTTCTCCATTACATTTTTTACGATCTTACAATTTTTAATTGTCTGTTTCATTTGAAACAAACCAAATCGACAAAAATTACTCAATAAGAAGGAAAAACAGAACATCTAACGAATTCACGGTTCTTTCTCTCAATATGTTTCTAGCTTTAAGAGTTGGCTGATTGCCAGTACGAGCTATTTCCGATCTATGTAATTCAACGGAAATTTAGTTGACTTTTTTCTTTATTGTTAGTCATGCGTAATGTTACCCTCGCAAAGAATCATGTTCGCGAATAGCTTAACAATAAATGTTATTAAAAGTATAGTTCACGTACAGTTCGAGCAAAATATATATCTATCTTAAATCGCAAATCTTTTTCTATTGTTTTATGATGTATTAACAGGCTCGGTTTTTTTTATTCTACTTTATTTTTATGAATATATGAATATATGAATGTAGATTGATAGGATGAACATCATTAATGTCAGTACATGCACATTTTTATCTCAGTAAAGAACTATTTGTATATGTATCTAGTTTCCTACTTGTATTCGCCTCTATTGAACATGACATCATGTAAGCTTATATCATTACCTTCTGCTGGCATAACACTGGTAAAATACTCCGTTTCTGTTTCGTGTTTTAATTCTTTCGACTGCTTAATTTTCTCAGTCATTGAATATTCAATATTTCCCACTTTTTTCAATTTTTAATCGATCAATCACACAAAACAATTTTTGAGCGTTGCTCCGATAATTGTACAATCAGAAAGTGTTAAAGTGTAAGTGGATCACAAGGAAAAAATATAACTATTATACACTGCAACCTATTCGTAGTTCTTGCACTTTTGGATCCCTTACCGCGATGGTGGGGAGAAGGAGAAGTAGGAAGAAGGAGAAGAACAAGCGGAAGAAGGAAAGAGAGAAAGAGAAACAAAAGTAATAAACAGATTATCCGATCGATACAAGCAACATTTTTAACATTAGCATGTTTACTTATGTTAATGAAATTCAATTATAATTCATTCTGGAACGACATTTTGTTGTAAGTACAAGATTTAATGATTACAATGATATTCCGACAGATATGTATACAAACTATTCATAGCGATTACTATCTTGAAAATACGAAGATCGCTATTAATAGCTCAATTGTTTATCAAACAAGTTTATCACAGAGCTTTTCCATTATATATTGTTTTAAATTAACACCGTTTATTTAGTCAGATTTATATTAAGTATTTGTACATACTATAACTTTCTTTGTTACTATTAATCTTTGTTTGTGAAACGAAAAAGTAATATTTAATTTAACCACTTTCGATTTAGACATAAAACTAAATTAGATGATAAAGGACCATGAACAATATTATAGACATTAAATCGGTATTTTCCAAAATACATGTATAATTTATTGATTATATTTCTCTCTTTTTTGCTTTCATTTGTTTTGTAACAAAAACTGTATTATTATTTCTTTCTTTTTCTTTATCTCTCTTCAATCTTTATCAAATATGTTACTGTCTAATGTACTTTATTTTACATTATAAAAATTCCATTTCACGTTCAATGCCCACGAATTTTAATTGTTCTGTTGGTCCATATCTGTAGGAGAAGAAATATATAAATATAATGCGAAAATAATGTGATACATAATAATGTTAGCAATTTTACCGGTAATCAAAAAATAATTCCTCGCCAGGCTGAATAGCTCTTTTTGCAAAAATACCTATCCTATGGTCGCCATTTACCATCATTACTTTTGCATAGCAATTAGGATTTATTGAATGATTCGCGAATCTTATTTTATTGCCCTTTCGTGTGGCATCCACGACAAAGTCTAAATGTTAAAACGGCAAAATTAATAGAAATTTGATTGTTTTTCAAACATTGGTAGGAAATTTTAAGACTTGTTACTATTTTTCTTACCGTTATTAAGGTTAAAGAGGAAACTACACATGTACTTATCATACACTTTGCCTCGTCTGTCAGCTTCATCTTGACTTATAATTTCACCACAATATTCCGATATAAATTCATTCTTTGCCGCAGATTCCTTAAGAAATATTCCCCAGCCAGCCACATCAGATGGTGCCATTAAAAGATGTTTGTCTGAAATTACATTATGCTTTATATGAAGTGAAAGTTAATGTTATGATTTCAAAAATATAAAGATGTATATACATACGGAGACCGCGTTGAACGCTAACGTTTTTGCACGATATTTTAGTAATATGAAACTGATCTGCACCGCATGTTTGGCATAGATCTGGGTCACATTCCCTAACGGCTAGGTAACAGGGGCACTGTTTTGTATTACATTGAGCTTTACATCTACATCCTGGGAAACGATTCTGACATTCGCTACTGCATTGGCAAAACTTCTCGCAGAAATTCTGAGCTTGTATACATGGACACGAGTTATCGCACTGTCTTCCCGGGTGATCACATGGAGCAAAATTATGAACATGATTGGCACCTTGAAAACAAGAATATAACATAAATTATGAATTTATAGAAAGTAATATTATTTATTTTAGAATATTCACCAGAATCCTTTTTTAGCTGTATTTTTCTACAATGCATTGACCAAAGACGGTGTTTCTTTTTTTTCTTTCGTGGTGGCGTAAAGTCCTTCAAATTTTCGACTGCTGGAATATCTGACGCTTCTTTCTGTGCGAACTGATACACTTCCTGACATGTTTTAGTCAGCATTATTTGTGCTAATGCGCACGGATTACCAGGGAAAGCTTTATGAAGAGCTCGAAACAAACTTTGCTCTGAACCTGTCCACGAAGGTTCGCTTTCTGTCTTTATTCGTTTATCGAGACCCAGAAGAGTAAATGGAGTTTGATTTTCCGGTTGAGCTTGATCTTCCATCAATTCTTCGGATTTTGTTTCTTTATTAACGTTTTGTTTAAAATCTATAACAGCGATATGATAACAACATATGAATCAATGTAGACACTATGTACCTTATTTAGAAAAAATCAGTTATTCTGTATATTACCTTGACAACCACCTGCTTGACTATACTTATTGCTATCATTGCTATCTTCACTACTCGCTTCGTTTCCGGAATCTACGCTTGCTTGTTTCCGTACCTTTCTGGGACCACCGCGTTTCTCATCGCTTTCCTCGTCTTTTATATCTGCCGCTTGTGCAGCAAGTTTTTCTTTCATGCCTTCCTATGAAACAAAATTCGCGTTTTAGTTGCCTGCTTTTCTTGTTACTGTTATTATCATTCTTGTTTTTACCAAATGCATGTAACATTCTGTTCCACAAGGTTCAGAAAAAGGTTTCAAATCAGGTCCCTTTCGTTTTTGCAAATTTGGTCCTGGATGACAGACTTGAAGTCCTATAAGTAACAATGTAAATTCAGTGTGAAGCTATTTCTAAAGGAAAGTATCACAGACGATGTAGAATTTAGTATGTGTTCACAGCGTCGAACGACCAACGAAATATGATTGCAGATGTATCCTTGATGGCTTCTCCATGCTAAACGAAAAAAATAAACCGAATAAAGAACGAAGAAGAAAGAAATGGGAGAAAGAAAGAGAAGATAAAAGTAAAAAGAGAAAGAAGCGTTTGTTCAAATATGATCGTTTGTATGCAGTGTTGTTCTTTACCTGACGGCGACGCTCCCCTGGCTGCTACAATAAATCAGGAATCATAAATGATTGTAATTAACAGATGATCAATTTAAGGCAGGGATACAGCATGGTGTATAGCCATTAGGTTGTATCTCAATACTGATCTTTATAATTAAATGATATAATCAATCTAAGAAGAGTGAAACATTTATGTCTTATTTTTATACTCACGATGGAGGAAACAGTCGTATTTGAAGCATCTTCTACAAAATAACGTATGGAAGGAATGCATTGTTTGTTCTCTAGGTACACTCTTTGCGTTTACTCCATCAATATTCGGTGTACATTCTGGAGGTAAGATATTGGGATCCGATCTCTCCGTTAATTCTATATATTTTTCTTTTAATTCTTCTGGCCTACCTTTGTCAGGGAACATACTAGATATTGCCTAAAGAATTGATATAATAATACTATAACTGTTATAAATAATAAGGGAAAATTAGTTTCTATATATACCACTTACATTAAATATATGCATAGATGGAAATGGATTTTTATCAGTTCTAACTTCTTCCAACAATTTTTCTGCTTTAATTTCTGTTTTGATAAGAATATCCTTCTTATCTTTATCTTTATCATCTTCTTTTTCTTTTCCTTTCTTTACTTGTTCTCTATCCCTGTCCTCTTTTTCATACTGTATTAAAGCATTTACTAAATCCACAAAAATTGAATCATCCATGAAGCCCGATTCTCTGTCTCCATGTACCTAGAATCAATCGATTAAACTTACTTTCCATAATGATAAATCATTATTTCATTTTAACAAAGATAGCTTTTATTCTCATTATATCGCACATACTTTTCCATCATAATTTTTTATTAACTCTTCGATAAATGTACCATCTTGGTCTAAAATTTCATCCCCCATATAAGGTATGTTATGCAACACTGTTTCATCTTCAACCATAAAATTCTGTTGTATTGGAGCCCATGTATACATGGTTGGTATAGGAGTGACTGCATTAATGATCTTAACAGGACATGATTGTACATCATTGTCAGAACTGGTTACTTCTGCCTTTTTCATACAGGATACATGTGGTGGTATATCTTGCATTGCAAGCCACATTGCTTTCCCGTCTGCCCATCGTTTTTGTTCAACTATTAAAAGATCTAAGAAGTAGTAAAAATTCAAGACAAGATTTGCTTTAACGATAGTGAGAAATAAAGAAGATACTAACCGGACATAATCTTACGGTTTTGATTCCAAGCAATTTTTACCTCGTCTGCCCGTTTATAGCGTTTCATTTGTCTCAAACGCATATATTCCGATTTTACCCGCTTTTTCCATTCTGCAGATACCTTTGCTTTCGACATTGCAACGAAAGCTTTATTCCGAATACTACAAAATGGTGTATGAGTACTTGGATTTCTTTTATTACTGAAACTGTCTTTAGTTGACAGTAGATGTCTATGATATGATGACGCTAATAGTAGTGATATGGCGGTAAATTCAAATCCAAATTCAAATAAACAAAATTCCAAAATGGATATGAATGTGTAAATTAAGAATGAAATTCGAAATCATTTAGTTAGACACATTTATACATATATCTATATATAATGATGGCAAGGAGAAAAATACAAATACCCTATTGAAAAACTCTGAATTAGTTATTAAAGGATAATATTTATACATTAATAGTTTCTATTTTCTGAAAAATGTACTTAATCTTATAATTAATCGACTCGTGTTTTAACTATAAGAAAAGTTATAAATTGTACTTTGGCAATCATTTTCTTAACTTGGACTCTGTATATATATTATACAATACACGTGCATTCCGGGTACAATGGCGGAATGGAAGCATCATTATGATTCGAGAACCATTGAAGTGGAACTGGCGGGAGAATCCTTGATTGGACAGAGCCTGATCCACGTGGTCTGACCTAAGTATGCAGTTTTATATGCAGTGGAGTATGGAGAAGGGTGTTAGGAGAAAGAGACTCGATGAAAGAAAAGAATCACTTTCTTCATCTTTCTCTATCTTGAAATGTAACTTGTACTTCTCACTAAATAAAATACTTGATTCCGAGAAATAAATAAAATTTAATATGAAATTGTTATAAAATATTAAATAAAATTTTTGATATTACATTTTTTATACATTATAATTATTGATTGTTTCAAATTTATAAAAAGGACACCATTTCTTAATAACATAAAATATAAACACATAATGAGATGCAAACATTATATATAACTAAAAATATCTAAAATGAGACATTACACATCGAAATTTAAAAAATTTTATCGGGAAACGATGGCCAAAGAATGAAAATTATTTTATTTTTTCTGTCTAACCTTCTGTCCGATATTCAATAATTTGAAGTACAGAACCGGGATTTCTTCCGTGGAGATTAAAATGATTCGATGTTGAGATGTAATATGTACAGCTTCTCTAATATTTAAGCAGATATGTGATATTATTAATTATTTTTATTCGATAGAAATATATTTTTAGAAATAATAATTTAATATATATTCTATTGTATATATGATTTTAATGTGTTTCAAAACTAAGTGGAAAATTAATTTGTTTTCGCGCTCTTAAAACGTAATAATAATTCATGGATGAAAACCCCTTGTACATTGTACACGTTGTTAGTATTTGTTAAATGTGATATTGGTTATTTATATTGTCCATTTTTGTTTTCATTCTCTGCTACATTTGTTAACGTTCTTGATGGACCTAAAATTGATTCATAATTGTTATATACTTACAAACTACTACTTTATGTATTTTATAATACAAAATGTATACGATATAGTTTTAAAAGAGTTGTACGATGTACAACTTTATTACCCCTACCTATAAAACTTAGTAGCACCGGTAAAAATATTAGACCGTGCGCAGCACCAAAAACTACTATACTCAAATACATTCGAAAGAAGAATATTTGGAAGATTTGAGTTTTCGAAAACGCCAGTATAATGATACCTACGATTTTCGTTAATGTGATTCCTGAGAATACCTGCAACGGAACAAAACGAAAGAAAACATATTAATTAGAATATTGATAGACAAAGAATATTTATACATACCGAGCTTCCCATGTTGTTAAGTGCGTCAGATGCACGATCAATTTTTGTTTTCTTCGTAGATTTTAAATACGAATGTATGATATGACTGCAAAATTCTACGGATATACCAGCGGCCTGTAAGAAGTCGAAATTTAATCGAATATAGGTTTTCATTGCTGCTATGTGTCTTTAGGCTTTGGTTACAATGGATGTGTGTTCTGTCGAATAAAATATGTGAAGAACGAAATATACAAATATGTATATGTACTTGTCACAATATATGTATATACATATTTAATTATTTTTACGTATTTGCCCTCTGTGATCATAGTTGATCTTCATAAGATTTCTACGGATTTCAACGCTCTGTTATACATTATTCAAATATGTACATATACATAAATAGTATAGATTCGTGTGATTCGTTGTTAGTATGCAATTATATGTGTGCCATTTTGTTACCATACCACTACTAAATTGACGAGAGAAACTGCGTTTAATTGAATATGCCACCAATACATAAGACCGCCTATATTTACGATGATCATGAGTACTGTCAGTATTACTATTATCGCCGAAAATAACGACAATCCTGTTAGGATTAGAGTCACTATGAAGATGACACAAAGAGAGTAACCCAATGACGATACCGTTTCTTTCCAAATTGTGAGATACTGCTCGTAATACACATAGAATATGCTGTAAGAAATAATTTATCAAATTTTTCATACGCACAATTTTTCATTAACAATAGCGCTAACGATGACAATGATATAATGGTATAATGATGATATTTGTGTAGGTACATATGCATATACGTATATAATCTAGGAAATTTATAAAAATTCGATTTTGAGAAAGTGGTGCATTTGAGTTTAAAATCTATAAAAGTAAATAAAAATGAAAGAGACAAACCTGTATGGAAATATAGTTATGTTCTCGTTGGTTAGATTTTTACTATTTATCATAGTTGTAATATTATCCGCGATAGTTCTAGCAGATCTCAATGCTTCGTACCAGTCAGATGATTTTTTTAGCGGGATATGATATCCCATAAAATAACTATCCTTAACATCCGTTAAACCGTATTTGTCTGTATGATAATTTATTGCCTACAAATATGTAAATAATGATGCTAGAATGTTAGTAGAACATAAGAAATCAGATGTAATTGTAGATGTAAGAGGAGAAGAAGCAGGAGGCGCAGGGAAGAAAAATATAGAAATAATCTTACATCAAAGTATGCAGCACGACCAGATTTTGCGCAGCTTGGGTCTGGAATATCTTGTATAAAGTAGGATATATATTTTCGGAAACTGTACGGATCTGGTCGATGGTCCGCGTCGATATGAATATTGCACTCCTCACACGAATCTATAATAGAAATGTTGGTTATAATAAAATAATAACCGGTTCGTAAAAATATGAAATCTTGTGATAATTACAGTTTGTGTGTGGACAAAAGGATTGATTATGTTGAAAGTATTTGCAGCAGTCGCTAATTTGTGACCAATCCATATAATCGTCTATCCAAGATGAAGCTGATTTTGACAAATACGATCTACGATTGAATAACGAATAATCCTATTAGCAAGGTTTCGAGTGGAGGATGCATATCATTAAGAGCAATTCGAATGCAATGGAATTGCATTATACAAACTTTTGAGGTTGCTTAGCAGCCGAATAAATTTGCGTGTATAGAGAATCGCTATTACATCCTTGACCACCACAAATTATATTTTGTACCATTCTCCTACTGTAATTAAGTCCAGGAGTTACCACGAAATAAACAGGTGGGCCCATTGATAAAAGGTCTTCCATAAACTGAAAAATTCCGAATATTCAGTCGCGTTATGATATACGAGGTCACTATCACCACCATTTTCAACACAGTTATCATTACTATTAAATTATCGCATAACGGTACATATAATCCATACAATAAACACATTACCTGAAAGTATTTTAAAACATAAGAATCTGCAGGCATCGAAAGTTTTTGATCCAATCCGATACTAACATCTGGCAATACTATGACGTGTGTAAGTAGTACTACGATGAATATGATTAATACAATTATTCTGATCGGCGTTTTCATAAGAAAAGGTGTGTAAAAACGTTTGAAGATCGTATGTGCGAAACTGAAGTTTTCCCCGACTATAAAATTCTCTTTTTTCGTTTTTATGCAACATAATACATCCAAATAATTATTCTAGAGTATTAAAGAATTAAAAAATTAGTTTAATAAGTATATATGTATGTATGTACGTATGTATGTAGATATAATATCATTTACCTCGA